CCGCGGTCGAGTTTGGGAAAGGAGGATGCGTTGGTGGAGGAGATGGAAAGTAGGAGGGGTATCTTGAGGTTGAGCGAGTGGCAGACGGATTGAAAGATATTCTTCATACTGCGTAGATGGGGAGATTCCCACGGCGTTGTGTGCGGGAAGATTCGCGGAGGAGTTAAGTCGACAGGAATGGAAAGAGGCTCTTGAGAGGGTTACAGCGTAGGCAGTTTTTGGGCCTGTTTTGAATCTTTGGGGGGGAACCTTTGGATACTTCCCTTCAGTGCCTACGAGAATGCAATCGAACGCAGAGGAGTTCGGGTTAATTATCCGAAGTGTGATGATGATAGAAAGGCATTCACCTTTGATGTGAATCAAGATTTCATCAAGTAGTAGGGTGTGAAATCGATTACTAGGGCGAGCGCGGTTGTCGTCAGTAGGTATAGTGAGGAGCATGGGGGGGAGGAGGAGGATGATTGGAGGCGTAGATTGGAAGGAAGCAGTCGGGTAGGGAGGGGTCTCGGGTTCGGATCCCACGGATGTCATTTTTACCGTAATTTTATTTTTCACAATTTTCTTTGTTCTTCCCTTTTTTTCCGTGTTTTTTCTTTATTTTTTTTATTTTTTTTTATTTTTTTTATTGTTTTTTCTGTTTTTTTTGCAAAAAAAAATGGTATTTATTTCAGAAACTTCCGAGAAGGGATTTCCACAGTGGCATTGATCCCTCTATGATGACTATATTGGCGGACAGGATTGCTAATGAGTTGTAAGGATGTGGGGGCGTATCTTTAGGTTGACATGGTATGATACGGAATAGGTCCGAAGCGTATTTTTTGGATAAACGAAAATTGCTTCGCTCCGCCTTTTTTTTATTTCAGATATAAAGCGACGGGTTTGAAAAACAGGGTGGAAGGTTTGCGGAGTATCATTGAGAAGTACGGTAGTACAAATGGAGATTCGCAAGATTATGGAGGGGAAAACGCGCGCGCCCTGAGGGTAAGGGAACCTGTTTTGTATCTTGTCAAGTCAACCTCAAGATATCTTTTAGGACTACAGGAGATTTGATGACCAGATGCAGTATAGTAATTCAAAATTGAACCCGCGGGCGTTGGCGTTACCGCAAGTAGGCGGAGCGAAGCGATTTTTGTTTTGATTTTTTTCATTTTCAGTTGCGCAGCCTGAAGAATGCTGATAGGGAAACGTTTGAAAAATTCATGAAAGTAGG